TTTTATGAAAAATATTTTTGATATTCTTGTCAGGTGTGCATGTCCAAATTCTACTACTGTATGTTAAATAATGTTACATTTCAGAAATAATAATACTGATACTTATGTCAGCAAACAGAGCTAAAAAGAGCTAAACACAGCAAGCTGGTCAAATGCGTCTGCAGGTGTAGAGAGGTGACCCGACAGATCAGAAGCTCTGCAGTAATAAAAGAGAACAAACGCAGAGTAAGGCCTGTATTAGCTTCCAGGAAGTACAAGTGCGTGTATGTGCGCGGCATTCTGGGGCCAAGCCGGCGAGATCTGTACATAAACCTCCTTACAAATCTCTCTCGCCAAAAGATTCAGCAGACGCAGCAAAGAAAACTCACACCAACACAAACAGACACTCTCCATGTCAATAATAAAACTGCACCTGTGATGGATGTTCTCTCACCCAACAGCCTTCATAAATAACAGGTTATAATTAGATTGATCTTTTTACCAGGACGTAAATAAAAAGTACGGCTCAAAATCATCTGCACGTGTAATCATAATCAACTTTAACCGTGTAGGAATTTAATTGAGGCCTTTTTGTTAACACAACCTTTTTTTTTCGACAGTTCTGACAAATGCAGAGGTCAAACTTCCAAGGAGGAATTTAAGACGTGAATTTATTATTAATGAATAATCTTTTAGCGACACATTTAATAATCCACAAGCAGGCCACATCAAGGTTATTGCTCTTTATTGATATGTTGCAATGATGAGCAATTTCCGACTTTATAAAATATACAAACATAACTGCAGGTTTGATTTTCTGGATTAGACACCTACTTTACTGTGATTATCCAATCACAATACGATAAAAAACAAACACAAAAACATCACTCGTTTTCCCCTTCCTCCTCCTCCTCATCATCACTGATGACATATTTTTTGGGTTTCTTGGCAGCAGAATCCTCATCTTCCTCTGCCTTCCGCTTTCCAGAGTTCTCTCCCTCCTAAAAGAAAGGATAAATAAATACCCAACATAAATTAATATCCTGAAGTCTGTTTATGTTGTTAAGATGTCTTCGACCAAAATCATTCATAATTGAGCTTCTCTTGACCATCTTAAGCCTCTCGGAGCCTCAGAATTAAACAGACTTTTTTTTTTTTGCTACTGTATCTTTAAGACTTTGTGATAGAGACTTTGTAATAAGAGTGGCAAAATAATCTAAAGTTGCGATTCATCTTCAAGGTATAGTTCAGCCAAAACTGAAAATTCTGTAATAATTCACTCACCCTTATGTCAGTCAAAACCCACAAGACTTGTTCATCTTCAGAACACAAAGATCATTTTTATTTCTGTCCATCCAGTGAAAGTCCACGAAACCAAAATGTTCAAAAAGCTTCAAAACTCAAAGTCATTTAAACTTCATACAGTCTTCTGAAGATACATGATCAATTTATTTTAGCTTTGAAAACATCCAGGGTTGAAATCACATGTGCTTTTCATCACATATAAATATTGATCGAACATAAATTCAAAAACCACTGAGGCTCATTCTCATGTGTCAAACTTTTATAATGTCTTTTGGAAAGTTTTGGTTGCGTGGACTTTAATGGATGGACAAAAATGATGAGAGAACACTGAAAATATCTCGTGTTTTGTAGATAAACAGAAGTCGTATGTGTTTGGAGCAACGTGTGCGTGAGGAAATTATAGAATTTAAAGCCGTTTCGTTTGATTCAAGGCTTAGATCTTTTCACTGAAGAAAATGAATGGGAAATATCCATCTGTAACCAAGGCTGCTGAAAACTGGGCAGTCATTGTTATGCTCATGGTTGTGACGTTATTTGTGACTGGGAAGTCGTGGCCTAATGGTTAGAGAGTCGGACTCGTAACCCAAAGGTTGTGGGTTCAACTCTCGTACCGGCAGGGATTGTAGGTGGGGGGAGTGAATGTACAGCGCTCTCTCCCACCTTCAATACCATGACTGAGGTGCCCTTGAGCAAGGCACCGAACCCCCAACTGCTCCCCGGCGCCGCAGCATAAATGGCTGCCCACTGCTCTGGGTGTGTGTTCACGGTGTGTGTGTTCACTAAGGATGGGTTAAATGCAAAGCCGTTAAATGCAAAGCACTAATTCCTAGTATGGGTAACCATACTTGGCCACATGTCACGCCACTTATTACTAGGTCTCGATAATCTCGATATTAATCTAATTTTTACGGAACGATATCGATTCTTAAATCCTAAGAGTCTAGCCTGTTTTCAGTTAACATTGAAGGCACTTCCCATCCAATATATCGCAATAAGCACTGTCCTTTGGTACTTTAAATATGAAACAAAGTCTGTCAAATTCTGTCCATTCTATTGCTGTATTTAAACAATAAATGCCGTTTTGGAGCTGTTTAATGTGGAGTGGCAGATCGCTTTAGCGCCTCAGTTCAACAGACGCGGCAGCACAGGGCGCACGTGAACTAATCATCTCCTCCACATTAAGATTAGTTTAAACACAAAATAAACATGACTAAACATCCGAAGGTAAGTTAAAAGAAAGAGTACAACTTTACAATCCATATCCTGTCTCATGTATTCGCTCAATCAGTGTTTCCTCCACGCAAAGACGTCAATATGTCTTGTAAACAATGTCACCTAACGTCACATTTACCTCAGAAAAAAACATATTTGGTGACCATAAACTCATTAGTCAGATAGAAAAATAAACTGTAGAGGGGCATTTTGCTAAATATATGCACCATATAACATTCATTATAAATTTTACTGTTCTTCAATGTTTAATGTTTGAATAAATTCATCAAGTTTTTATGACAGCCACCATTATGTTTATATATTAAAACATATTTGGTGACCATAAACTCATTAGTCAGATAGAAAAATAAACTGTAGAGGGGCATTTTGCTAAATATATGCACCATATAACATTCATTATAAATTTTTGTTCTTCAATGTTTAATGTTTGAATAAATTCATCGAGACAGAGGAAATGCTGCAGAGGTCCCCCCCGTCTGTGTCCATGGCCTACCAACACTGCCACACCATTACATAACACTACTGCAGAGAGAGAGAGGGAGAAAGAAAGAGAGAGAGAGACATCCACTGCTACTGTCAGCCAAGAAGGTAATAAATCACGCACAGACACACTGCAGGATTCTCCACACCTAGCAGCTAAACAGTCTTGTACATACAGTCATTTCACACCACAATCACAACAGACCACATTTTGGAGTAGAACCAAACATAAACAGACTATTACTGTATGTTCAGCTTTCGTAAAATGATCATTGTATGTGACGTAACACACTGAGGCTGTATTGTGTGTGTGATTGTATTGATTGTACAGACATGAGACACACCTGTACAACACAAAACACTTCCGTCAGCATCTGTGAAGAATGTGTGCGTGAAGGAGGACACGAGTGTGTGTGACAGCCGCAGTGTGCGATTACGTGTGTTTACTTGATTTCATAACTAGAGCCAGTACAGCCCTGAGGCAAAATGAAGATGAAAAGGGGATTCCTCTGTGTGCTGATGAACGGAGGAGAGTGTTGTGGAATGAATAACAAGTCATTTACGCAATCACGACTGCTAAATCACCTAAGGAACCTTCTGCTGGATACAGAATGGGAACATGAGAGAAAAAGAAAAGAATTGGAATGTTAACTTTGCTTAAGAAAATGTGAGTGGTAAAAATGCATCGCCATAATGCAAGGATGTTGTGGGTGGTTGCTAGGACATTTATGAGGTTGCTAAGGTATTTAAAAAAAAAATGAAAAGTTTATTTTATGGTTCATTTCAATTAACGCTGTAAAGCCCGAAATATTATTGTTTATTTATTTTATTAATGGAACACTTTATTTAACCTGCAGATATGTTTTTTGCTGAGTATCATATTTGATAAATCAGGCTTTTATGGCTCATATGATATAGGCGAACATGGAGTTAATTATCAAGTAGGGAAATAACACCTCAGTTTTTTATCAAATATTTAAACTGAGTAAAAATATGCAATTTGGTGCAGATGCTAATATTTATATGGCCAAAAGTAAGCTGAAATTCTGATAGCTTGTAATGTAACAGATCTTTAAAACAGTAAAGAAAACTACATAAATTGCATATAAATATTATTGATTACTCTATATCTCCCAATTAAATGTCTTAGTAATATATTTAAATGCTTAGTCTTATGATTAAAGCTCTGTAGTTTGTATTGTGGTAAAACATATACAAATTATTATTATTAATTAAATGTAATGAAAATATTATTATAATCAAAATTATATCAATTCAAACTTGCTTTTTTTTTTCTTTTATGAAAAATATTTTTGATATTCTTGTCAGGTGTGCATGTCCAAATTCTACTACTGTATGTTAAATAATGTTACATTTCAGAAATAATAATACTGATACTTATGTCAGCAAACAGAGCTAAAAAGAGCTAAACACAGCAAGCTGGTCAAATGCGTCTGCAGGTGTAGAGAGGTGACCCGACAGATCAGAAGCTCTGCAGTAATAAAAGAGAACAAACGCAGAGTAAGGCCTGTATTAGCTTCCAGGAAGTACAAGTGCGTGTATGTGCGCGGCATTCTGGGGCCAAGCCGGCGAGATCTGTACATAAACCTCCTTACAAATCTCTCTCGCCAAAAGATTCAGCAGACGCAGCAAAGAAAACTCACACCAACACAAACAGACACTCTCCATGTCAATAATAAAACTGCACCTGTGATGGATGTTCTCTCACCCAACAGCCTTCATAAATAACAGGTTATAATTAGATTGATCTTTTTACCAGGACGTAAATAAAAAGTACGGCTCAAAATCATCTGCACGTGTAATCATAATCAACTTTAACCGTGTAGGAATTTAATTGAGGCCTTTTTGTTAACACAACCTTTTTTTTTCGACAGTTCTGACAAATGCAGAGGTCAAACTTCCAAGGAGGAATTTAAGACGTGAATTTATTATTAATGAATAATCTTTTAGCGACACATTTAATAATCCACAAGCAGGCCACATCAAGGTTATTGCTCTTTATTGATATGTTGCAATGATGAGCAATTTCCGACTTTATAAAATATACAAACATAACTGCAGGTTTGATTTTCTGGATTAGACACCTACTTTACTGTGATTATCCAATCACAATACGATAAAAAACAAACACAAAAACATCACTCGTTTTCCCCTTCCTCCTCCTCCTCATCATCACTGATGACATATTTTTTGGGTTTCTTGGCAGCAGAATCCTCATCTTCCTCTGCCTTCCGCTTTCCAGAGTTCTCTCCCTCCTAAAAGAAAGGATAAATAAATACCCAACATAAATTAATATCCTGAAGTCTGTTTATGTTGTTAAGATGTCTTCGACCAAAATCATTCATAATTGAGCTTCTCTTGACCATCTTAAGCCTCTCGGAGCCTCAGAATTAAACAGACTTTTTTTTTTTTGCTACTGTATCTTTAAGACTTTGTGATAGAGACTTTGTAATAAGAGTGGCAAAATAATCTAAAGTTGCGATTCATCTTCAAGGTATAGTTCAGCCAAAACTGAAAATTCTGTAATAATTCACTCACCCTTATGTCAGTCAAAACCCACAAGACTTGTTCATCTTCAGAACACAAAGATCATTTTTATTTCTGTCCATCCAGTGAAAGTCCACGAAACCAAAATGTTCAAAAAGCTTCAAAACTCAAAGTCATTTAAACTTCATACAGTCTTCTGAAGATACATGATCAATTTATTTTAGCTTTGAAAACATCCAGGGTTGAAATCACATGTGCTTTTCATCACATATAAATATTGATCGAACATAAATTCAAAAACCACTGAGGCTCATTCTCATGTGTCAAACTTTTATAATGTCTTTTGGAAAGTTTTGGTTGCGTGGACTTTAATGGATGGACAAAAATGATGAGAGAACACTGAAAATATCTCGTGTTTTGTAGATAAACAGAAGTCGTATGTGTTTGGAGCAACGTGTGCGTGAGGAAATTATAGAATTTAAAGCCGTTTCGTTTGATTCAAGGCTTAGATCTTTTCACTGAAGAAAATGAATGGGAAATATCCATCTGTAACCAAGGCTGCTGAAAACTGGGCAGTCATTGTTATGCTCATGGTTGTGACGTTATTTGTGACTGGGAAGTCGTGGCCTAATGGTTAGAGAGTCGGACTCGTAACCCAAAGGTTGTGGGTTCAAGTCTCGTACCGGCAGGGATTGTAGGTGGGGGGAGTGAATGTACAGCGCTCTCTCCCACCTTCAATACCATGACTGAGGTGCCCTTGAGCAAGGCACCGAACCCCCAACTGCTCCCCGGCGCCGCAGCATAAATGGCTGCCCACTGCTCTGGGTGTGTGTTCACGGTGTGTGTGTTCACTAAGGATGGGTTAAATGCAAAGCCGTTAAATGCAAAGCACTAATTCCTAGTATGGGTAACCATACTTGGCCACATGTCACGCCACTTATTACTAGGTCTCGATAATCTCGATATTAATCTAATTTTTACGGAACGATATCGATTCTTAAATCCTAACCTGTTTTCCTGTTTTCAGTTAACATTGAAGGCACTTCCCATCCAATATATCGCAATAAGCACTGTCCTTTGGTACTTTAACAAAGTCTCAAAGTCTGTCAAATTCTGTCCATTCTATTGCTGTATTTAAACAATAAATGCCGTTTTGGAGCTGTTTAATGTGGAGTGGCAGATCGCTTTAGCGACGCGGCAGCACAGGGCGCACGTGAACTAATCATCTCCTCCACATTAAGATTAGTTTAAACACAAAATAAACATGACTAAACATCCGAAGGTAAGTTAAAAGAAAGAGTACAACTTTACAATCCATATCCTGTCTCATGTATTCGCTCAATCAGTGTTTCCTCCACGCAAAGACGTCAATATGTCTTGTAAACAATGTCACCTAACGTCACATTTACCTCAGAAAAAAACATATTTGGTGACCATAAACTCATTAGTCAGATAGAAAAATAAACTGTAGAGGGGCATTTTGCTAAATATATGCACCATATAACATTCATTATAAATTTTACTGTTCTTCAATGTTTAATGTTTGAATAAATTCATCAAGTTTTTATGACAGCCACCATTATGTTTATATATTTTTAAAAAATGAATTGAAGTAGAAATATTATGTAATTGTAACTTTATTATTTAAAAAACTTCATTAAGTGTAATTTTAACAAATCAGTAAATTTTAACCTTCAATATTATAGTAAATGTATTACCAACTGACTCTCATGTATATTTTACAGCATTAGTTGAGATTTTTTTTCTTTGAAAATTTGGCATGTACTGTACCTGACATCGAATCGCAAGCTTGTGAATGAGAATCGAATCGTGAAATTTGTGTCAAAACCCAGCCCTAGTTATTACCATTCCATTTTTGAAGGTTTTTAATTCTCAAACTGTCTATTGGACTGAAATTTTCACCTCATCACTGTCCAGTCTCTTGGCCTTCATCAGCCGCTGGGCCTTGTCTTCATCAGACCCTTCATCGCTGTCTGAAGAATAGATCCTGGCTCGTTCCTCTATGACCCACAAACAAACAAACAAGAATTCAGGACTGATTTTCAAGCATTCCAGAGAGATGTTCTTTCAGTAAATACCTCTTATTGGCACAAACAAATCAAACTGAACAAACTAATCTAAATCTCAGTCGGACTCTGGCATAATGCAGTATTAAGGAGCCGGCAGGTAATCGGCTAACGGCTGTAACGGTTACTGTCAGTGAGAAAGCGTGTGCATGAGACGTGCTGTTTTGGGAACACAAGCTGTTGTTGCAGTGCAGAATGTTCTAGCTGATCGCAGCAGGTCTCAAACTCACTTAAAGAATCTGTTGTGCAGAAACACTGACCCATGGGAGAGTGAGGGAATACAATATAGACGACAGACACAGCACCCCACCGCAGTTCAGAGGCCATTTCAACTAACCTACTTCCTGTAGAGACGGCCGTTTTCACACTATAGCTATTGGTGCAGATGTGACTGGATTTGATTTTAAGTTTGTTTAAAGAGGGTTCCTCAAAAAAGAAGTTTGGGGGTACCTTGTATCTGCATTGGTACTACTGTACGTAAATTCTTATTATTGATGCACGAATTTCTGCAACTGAAACCGCAAAACAGCATAAAAATTATAGGGATAGTTCACCCAAATATGAAAATTACCCCATGATTTCCTCACCCTCAAGCCATCCTAGGTGTATATGACTTTCTTCTTTCAGACGAATACAATCGGAGTTATATTAAAAAATGTCCCGGCTCTTCCAAACTTTATAATGGCAGTGAATGGGCAGTGAATGGGTGTTGAGATTTTGAAGCCCAAAAAAGTGCATGCATCCATCATAAAAAATGCTCCACACGGCTCCCAGGGATTACTAAAAGCCTTCTGAAGCAAAGCAATGCGTATGTGTAAGAAAAATTTATATATTTAAAGCTTTATAAACTCTAATCTCTCACTTTTAGTTTTATGTAATGAGTACTTTTTATGATGGATGGACGCACATTTTTGGGGCTTCAAAATCTCGACTCCCATTTACTGCCATTTCACTGCATTTTAATCATTGTCATGCATCTTAATGAATGAAGAAAAATTGACAATATCCATTTCTCTATTTTATTTGTGGTTCATTTTCAGAATCTGATAATTAGTCTATGCTTTTTAAGTTGATGTATTAACAAAATTTCACTGAGCATGATTTGTATCATGCCTACCCTCCAATAATCACAATAAGCTTTGCTTTGTTACTTTTGGTGTGAAAAGTCTTTCAAAGCTTTCAAATTCTGTCAATTTGATCATACATTTCGAACAATAGCCATCGTTTTGACGGCATTTAATTGGCGTAACAGCACCTGGATAAACATCAGAAGGTATGTTGAAAGTACAAGTGAAACATTACAACTGAAATGTATAATGTCTCATGTAATCGCTCAGTGTTTCAGTTACAGAAAGATGTCAATATAACAAAAAGTGCATTTTAAGTGCATCTCAGGTGCATCATTAGAGATGATTTACAGAATTAGGCATAATAAAAATAGCTATGGCCAGCTGAGTTATTTCATGTATAGACATTTCAAAAAGAAGAGAGAGTAAGCAATACTGCATGTACGCTAAATGCTATTTGTAAAGTGGTCTTTGCATGGATCTACATACAATCTGAAAACTTTGGGGCAATGTACACATAACGCCCCATGTGTATGCATGTCTTGCATGTCACCTACCCCTCAGACCTCCACCCTTATATTTGCTCTTGATGGCAGCCAGGCTGATGGATTCTTCACCCTCCTCATCCTCGTCATAGCGGTCTGGCTCCAGATACCCGGCATTCAGACCTCGCTGATGCTGTTTCTCTCTCATGCGCCTCTGCTGGGATTCACGGCGGATAGACGCACGTAACCTCTCCTCTTCCTTCTGCACAGACACACAAAAGAAAAAGAAAAAAAAAATCACTGTCACTGCAGGATTACATTGAATGAACACATCCTAGTTTATCAGTCAACGTGGAGATAAATATAGATGCATTTTATCGGAGTAATAAAAAAGGATTTAAAAACTAATCCTTATTGGATTTAATAAATAATTTTGTAAATTACATTTTAATCCTGAGTTCCCACACTTTTCACCAGTGATTTTCCATGACCTCTCCAGTCAATCATAACCAGATGAGGATTTTTTTTTAATGCAATCATTTTACAGAGATTGCTGGGGTTTGTCAGATACTAAACAGACACATTGTGAAATTACACAATTAAAAACAAAAGAAAACGTTCTATTTTGAATATATTTCAAAACAAACGGAGATACATTTTCAAGACTCTTTTATAAATCAAAAGTTAAAATGAGCATTTATTCAAAACAGAAATTACAGTAAACAAAATACAAGTGTTCACTGTAATTTTTGCTAAAATAATGATAAACTTACTGACCCCAACATTTGAATGGAATACAATGTAAATTCAGGCCCAGCCGAGTCATAAACAGGTCCAGACAGCATAAACACTATTTATGCATGATTATTATCTGTGAAAGCCACTTTCAATAAAACTTGTGAAACAATTTTATAGCTCCTCATTTATGAGAGAAATGATCCAGAGCACTTTAACTCCAGCAAGGCTGTCTAATGGTGTCTGGGTCTTTGGGACTGACTTATGGTTGTCCATCTGATATGAAATCTGGCTCTTTGGACATTAGACTTCTGGTCAGAGGAAGATAAATGAGAGAGGAAATAGATAAAAACATTTACAGTAGTCCACTTTAATTGTCGGACAATCGGTTTAGATAACACGGCTGAAATCATACACGCATAACCCGCTGCTGCTAAGATCTGCTGTGTGTGAGGAAACGTGCTGTGAGCCGAGATGGCCTGATCTTCACAGACTCTGATAAGTCTGTTATGTGTCCGCTGTCTTATGCAATAGCTTATCAGATATTTATGATGAGATTTTGTCAAATGAAATGACAAAAGCTGAATCACTGTGTGTAATCTTGTCCTTTAAGTTCCAAAACATATCGGTTAAACTCCCTAGCAGGACAGCTTTATGACCTAGTTTCCTCTGAAATCTCCAGGTTTTCAGGAAGAAGAGTTTTCATTAAGGAGGATTTAAGTTGTGATATAACCGCCCTCTGAAAACTCACTGCATTTCTGCATTGATATGAAACCTGCAGAATTTTCCATCAGTCTCAGACTAAACTTAAATCTCTTTGCTGAGTGAAATGCATTTGTTTTACCTTTATCATCTCATTTCTCTGGGATTCTGGGTCTCTGCCGGCCATGGGCAGAATGCGGATCTTCTGTGTCTTTGAGCAGCGGTCAGCGAGAGAGAGGGTCATCTTCCTGTGTGTGGCGCTGTCTGTGGAGTGAGGTCTGCAAGACACACGCATAATCATATAAAACCACTTTAAACATTTTAGAATTATTCTAAATGCATATTAACGGAGAAATGGCATGAAACAGGTGTACTTTAAAAAATCTGTCACATGGTAAAAAAAAGCTTAAAAAGGATTAAAAATCCTTAACTTGAAATATCTACTAAATTTAAACCTAAAAAAAAAAAAAAAGCACTGGTGTCAAAGCATTCATGTCCATGCTATTTAACAAACCTGAGAGACCCCTGCTGGTGGATTGGTGGCTGTTCAACATCTCAATAATCCATAGCTAAACCAAAATGTTGGTTGAGGTTCTGGATGCTGATTGGTCAATACAGCATTTCAGTCACGATAAAACATGAAATACACAGCTCCCACAGAGTTCAACTATTAATCAATTATTTAATCTTTTTTGGTAACATTTTATTTTAAGGACCAGTTCTCAATATTAACTAGTAGCGTATTAGCATACATATTACTAGCATATTGGCTGTTTATTAGTACTTCTAAAGCACATAGTAATGCTTTACTCTGCATGACCATATTCTAGATCCCTTAACCCGACCCAATACCTAAAATTAATTACCTTACTAACTATTAATAAGCAGCAAATTAGGCGTTTATTGAGGGAAATATTTGTTAATAGTGAATGTGTGTTCCCTAATCTAAAGTAACACCACATTTTTAAGACACTTTGTGTCAATAATATTTTCATTATGTGGCAGCCTTTGTGGCCTTCAGCCAAATTTTAACTAATTTAAATGTAACCATAATTTACTTGTTATAAACCCACAATATTTCTTTAAAATAATTAATTTGTATACACCTTATGAAAGTATTATAAATCTCCTATAATGGAAAGAGAATGCATAGGTCTCAAGACACATTTTAATGTTTACTATATTTACTTATACAATTAAACAATAGTCTAATAGTTCAAACTCACTATATTTATATATAGAATGTGCACTTCATGTTTCCTTTATTTTAGGTTGAAGTGTTTAAATAATTTCATATTTCCTTTTCGGTTTCATTTTCATTTTAAATAAATAGTATGTATATATATATAAATAAATAGTATATACACCTGTGTGTGTGTGTATGTATATATATATATATATATATATATATATAAAGTTAAGAGTTTAGTATCAAACTGCCTTGAATTGTTGTGCAAGCAATTGTATAGTGAAATTGCACCTACTTTGTCATATTTTGGGAACAAATTTGTAGCCAGAAGTGAGCTAAATGTGACAAAAAAAAATCTCCCAAAAGTCTTATTTTGGGGGTGTCCTCATTTGTAAAAATGGTATGAAAAAGTTTATATTATTATAATTTAAAAAATGCAGAGTCTCTTCTGTAAGGGTTACGGTGTGGGTTAGGTTATAGTATGTAGAACTAGGTGTACATAAAAACAATAGAAGTCTATGCAGTGTCACTGTTCATATACAGCATTAAAGCAAGCCGCTTCAGGCAATCCAAACACTGGATCCTGAGCTGCTCGCATGTGAATCAAGCCGCACCAAGCGCAAAGCTCTTTCGTTTTGGGGTTTGTTTGTTTTTTTGATTCTCATATCATTGCCTATGACTCCTTGCAGACTCCTACACAGATGACCCATTTTGGACTAAAAACAGCAACACGTTTGCATCCCTGAAGAAGAAGTGTAGAATATAATGCATTCAAATTTTAGTGAACTTTTATAAGCCAACCAATCACGGAGAGCATCCTAACATTAGGAGTTAGCAGTGTGGCAAACATATTAAAATGGTATCACAGTAATTGCATATACATAAACACCATCATTATTTTTGCTGGAGATTCAATGGGGAAAAAAAATCTGTGCACACACTCTTAAATAGCATGGAACACAAACAAGCAAGTATATAGCCACTTGCCTAAACAGCCAAACACACACACAAAAATGCCCGTCTTGGCAAATATTCCTGTAAACACAGTGGTTTATGTTTTAACTGAACAAAACAGCTCTAGGCATATTGGATATGTGCATTAAGTAATACCATTCTAATATACACTGCTGCTGTTTGTGGCTTTAAAGTTAATCAAGAAAAAAAACATAAAACATCACTCACTGCTCTTGACAGAATCAGTTTTGTAGTTTTAATAAAGACTAAGCTTGATTTAATTTATACAGTGAAGACTAACAGTGCTCCTTTTTTCCATTTGACTTCTTTCTTTATTTTTTGTATAGGACCAGAAAAGGCCTTTCTGAAAAATATAAAGCATTGTTTCATTTGTATCTTTGTTCTGTTGTATTGATCTTTTGTTTGTAATTTATTACTTTGTTCTTAATGTATTCTTGTTGTCTTCAATTATTGTACGAAGGACATTTTTAACTTCAAATTGGTATAAAAAACCCTGCAAAAATTCACTGACATCTAAAATGATTCATATCATGAAATACTATGTTGAACACAGTGGTTTATGTTTTAACTGAACAAAACAGCTCTAGGCATATTGGATATGTGCATTAAGTAATACCATTCTAATATACACTGCTGCTGTTTGTGGCTTTAAAGTTAATCAAGAAAAAAAACATAAAACATCACTCACTGCTCTTGACAGAATCAGTTTTGTAGTTTTAATAAAGACTAAGCTTGATTTAATTTATACAGTGAAGACTAACAGTGCTCCTTTTTTCCATTTGACTTCTTTCTTTATTTTTTGTATAGGACCAGAAAAGGCCTTTCTGAAAAATATAAAGCACTGTTTCATTTGTATCTTTGTTCTGTTGTATTGATCTTTTGTTCGTAATTTATTACTTTGTTCTTAATGTATTCTTGTTGTCTTCAATTATTGTACGAAGGACATTTTTAACTTCAAATTGGTATAAAAAACCCTGCAAAAATTCACTGACATCTAAAATGATTCATATCATGAAATACTATGTTTATCATATCACCCACCTCTAATCGTGTTCAATAATCGTGACTATGATTTTTGCAGTTTCTTTTGCTGGCACATCCAGATTGGTAGTATTAATAACAAGCGTAAACTGCAAAAAGCATAAAAACTGGAATATGTTCAAATAAAATAATAACGAAAATGACTGAGTTTAATCATATGGTAACACTTTAGTATAAGGACCAATTCTCACTATTAACTAGTTGCTTACTACTATTAACATATTCTGCATGACCGTATTCTACATACCTAATCCTACCCAATACCTAAACTTAATAACCTTACTAACTATTAATAAGCAGCAAATTAGGAGTTCGAGACAAAAGTCATAGTTAACGATTTGTTAATAGTGAGAATTGGACCTTAAAATAAAGTGGGATCAATCACAGAAAGTGAAAATTCTGAGGCTGTGTGTGCAAATATCTGACCATCGGTTGCCCAGGTGTGAGAGGTTTCTCTGCATCGCTGTCTGATGAAATATCATCTGCTTCCCCAAACAGATCATTTGCTGCTGGCTTCTTACCTACACAAACAGAGTTTAACAGAGCTGCTGCGTGTATGACAGTGTGTTTCATCATTCATTCAATCATCTATCACTTACTCTGTGAATCAGGGTCAGAATCTGAGTCGGAGTATGAAGCGATTTTTTTCTTTTTCTTCCGAGTGAATTCCTCCTCGCTGTCACTGCCCTTCATCGACTCTGAAGTAAATGACCACAAACACAAAGATTTGTTCAAATAAAAAGGTTATAGATACATTTTTATCCAATAATAACTAGGGTTGCAAAGGGGTGAAACATTTCTGATACATTTCTGGAAAGTTTCCAAAAATCCCTGGAATATTCCAAAAAATCCTGGAAAGTTTCCAAAATTTACTGGAAATTTTCCACCTTTTTGCAACCCTAATAATATCATTTCAGGGGCTGCCTGAGAAGTAGTTCTTCTTTTTTTTTTGCCACAAATACATTGGGTCTCATTCACTAATAATTGTGCACATTATTCATATTTTTACGCACAAGAGAACTTCACATGAAAAATGTCACAACACATGCATGAATTTCTTCTTAGTCTTGTTCTATGTATAAATATATATATATATATATATATATATATACACCATTCCAATATACCTCACCTGATTTTTGTCTCTCCCCTTCATCGCCAGAATGATCCCTCTCATCATCTGAGTTCTGCTGTTTGTCCTCATCCTCTGATTGGTCACTTTTTCCACCCCACTTCTCATCTCCAGAATGGACGTCTTTGCCTGACCCCTCTCCGTCTGAATGAGGTGTGCCGGGATCTGAATGCCCACTTCCTGCTTCTGAGCGTGGGCTGCCCGCCTCTGACCCTGGACTTCCACTTCCTCTGTCAGACCTGTGGCTTCCTGCTCCTGAGGCTGGACTCCCCACATCTGATCTGTGGCCCCTCTCATCATCATCATCGTCCTCCTCGTGAGGGACCTCTGACCCGCTGTGTTCGTTGTCCGAGTGCATACTCGCGTCTGATTGGTTGCCGGATCGTTCTGATTGGCTGCCGCTGTGCTGGCTTCCGCGCTCGTCTTCACTGTCGTCTCCAAACAGCTCTTTATTGCTCGGCTTTCCACCATCTTCATCCTCATCTTCGTCATGATCTCGGTCACTCTCGCTGGCAGAGGCGTTGCTGGGAGATCTGGGTCTCTCATGCTCCGAATCAGAGCCGGAACCAGAGCCGGAATCTGGATGAAACACATCAACACATACATTAGTTTACTAAATTATTTAGCATATGCTTTTATCCAAACTGACTTAAGTGTACTTTAGTTTAACTTCATTACACATGAAATCACAGACCATAAAACTGTCCGTCAGAAACATTTCACATGATAACAGAGTAAACAATTAGTATTGTGTATTATTTTCATAAACACTAAAGCCTACAGTCATAACATAACATACCGGGCCTATGAATAATTTGGGCTTGTGTTTTTTTCCCTCTCCACAAGTAAGAGCTCCATATTCTTCTATATCATACTACACTAGTCTTTCATCGAAATTGTTCATCGAAAACCTAAAAGCGTTCTTGTCTTAGGACAACTCTGACTTACTTTCATGATTCACTTCAAATGTTGACTACTGTATATGAACCATAACAGCTAACTGTATCAAATGTGACACTCCTCAACAACAACAAACAAAAAACACATATGCATACTTTTTTTTTTATATTTAGCCTAAAGGTTTGATGAACTGCTCCATAAAAATAATGAATTTAACGATGACAAAAAAAAAGTGTGCAGAGCTGATAGACTGATCGTCTTACAACTGCACATATCTCTAAATAAGTGCTCATCTGATAGAAATATAGTTGCTTAACACATAAATGAAACACATCTTCATTCATTAATGCAAATGTAAAGTACCTCGTTGCTCATTGTCACTATCGCCGTCACTACCGAACAGCTCGTCCATGTCCGCCATTCTCACCGGCTGTAAATGATCAACATCCGGGTGAAAGTTTATGAACTGAAAAGCGTCAGCAACACTTTATTTATTTTATTTATTTATTTAGTCATTTAGCAGACGCTTTTATCCAAAGCGACTTACAAATGAGGACAATAAAAGCAGTCAAAACTAACAAAA